TATATACACACACATTTGTATTATAAAGTCTAACATAAAATACATTATAATAAATTATTTTATTACTATTAATAAACAATAGTAATAAAATAAATTATTATATTAACATAATTAAATAAATGTAAAAGTTTTTGTAGTCCAGTATTACGTTACTTTTTATTGTATCAATCATTTAATCACTACTTTATTATAATTTGTTATAATAAATCATTATTAATTTTATATAAATAAAATGTAATGAAATATGTTTATATGTTTGTATTATAAAATGTAACATAATAAAATACATTATAATAAACAATTAATTATATTATTATTAACAAATTATTTTAAGAAATGTAACACACTTACATGTCCACTTAAATGTAACACACTTACAAATCATATACTCATTATTTTATTATAATTATTATTAATTATATAAATATATACACACACACATTTGTATTATAAAGTCTAACATAAAATACATTAAGATACTAAGATTTTTCATAGTGGTGATGATTTAAAAATCGTATATTTCAAGAATCTCAATTTTTACCCCCGCCTCTAATAAAACATAATTGTGACCCTGCCAGTGAAAACCCAGCTAAAGTCATTTTTTTGTGATTTACTGTTTTCTACATAAAATCATCCTTCATAAAGATGTAGAACATTCTGTGAAAATTTAACCTTGATATCTTTAATATTGACTAAGTGAGGTCATGTCAAAGATTGAAATCATAGTGAAAGTAATGGTTGAAATCAAACTTTGATGCTTGTTATCTCATAATTAGATTTTGAGACTTTAGCCTGGATTTCACAGACAGGGTCACAATTTGTAGTCAAGTACTTTGTTATTAAAAGAAGGTGTCTTGGAGGGCAGCATGATGTTAGTGCAGGACCTTGTAGCCAGTCTGGCTCTGTGCTGGCATCCTCTGAGCGGTGTAATGCGGTGACGAGACGCCTCTGCTGGCGGCAGGGTTCAGATACTGACCCTGCTGAGAGGAAAACTGCCCGCTTGGTCCATACTGCTGCCCGTAGCTCCCCTGCAGAACAACAGACACTACACTGAAATCTCAAACTCAACTAAGAACAGAAAAACAGAGACTGGTTTACGGGGGTCAGCTGCATCACCACTAAAGACAAAACACCACAAACAGACACAGCCACTCACTATCTTTACTATCATGTGCTTAATAATTGGAACTGTATTTTTATTAATAAGATGCAACAGGCATGAATGATCATCAGTGTTTTGCATCACCCAAACAACACCCAAAATAATTAGATTTTTTTTTATATAACCTTACGCAATTTAAATCATTTTTTGTAATAGGCACAGAGGCCTAATTTTGTGATATTACTGTGGTAAAAGTTTTTTTTGCCATTTAATGGGCCATTTTATCTTGTTTATTTGTTTAAAAAAACTGAATATAACATGATAGAATAGTCTGTAATTTAATATAATAGAAACAGAATGCAAAAAATATGAATACAATTATTTTTTTTAAATATGTAAAAAAAATTTGTTTTTAATTTTTTTTAATTCTCAAATAATTAAAATGTACAAATTATTATATTAAAGCAAAAATATAGGTTTTAACATTTTTGTGAGGTCTACACTATTTTTGATATAATATGCAAATGTATGCATATTTAATAATATGCCGATATTTAGCATATTTTCAAAGTTTATATGAGAAAATTCTACATGTATTTTAACCATTGCAAAGTGTAGAGAAAAGTCAAATAAACTGTATATTTGACCAGTGTTGGGTAAGTTACTCTAAAAAAGCAATTACTAGCTACAGATTACATCTTCAACAGTATAATTATATTACTGTACTAATTACTCTCTCTAAAAAGTATTGCATTATTTATTACTAATTACTTTCTAAATCCCATATTAACCTCGACTAGTTAAAGAATCAGCAATCTCACAGGTGAAATTAGTAGGAATATTGCTAGTGAGTGACGGAGTACCAATAAAAATGTTAAGTTTCAGAAAATATAAATTAAGCCAATCTTTTATTTCATTCAAATGTAATTAAATTAAAGAAAAATGAAAAGTAACCCCTTATATTACGTTTGCAATGCAACTTAATAATGCATTATATCCAGTGTTGTATCTGACACCTAAGCTGTTTTCCTCACCTCTCCAGGATACGGTCTCTTCGCCCCCTGCACTGGCCGTGGCCCGTAGCCCTGCTGGGGTGTCCTCTGACCCCCATATGGCCCCATCTGGCCCCGTGGCTGCCCCATGTTCATGGCCCCAGGGTGAGCAGGGGGCCCCCGGGGGCCGGGCTGATTCACAAACGGAGTACTGTAAGCCTGGTTTGGTCCCATTTGAAAGGAGGAACACATCTAGAACACAAACAAACAAAATGCTTTGTTCAAACTCATTCTTTCAATTAAAAATAACAATCCAACTAGTCTGATGATTATAGACACTCCCTCACCGGGCCGTATTGGTTCATGTCCTTGTGTTGCGTCTCCTGTAGCGCGGCGACCGTTGCCGTGGCTGTAGCGGTCGCCGTAGCAGCAGCAGCAGCCACAGCAGCGGCGGCGGCGGCAGCAGCTGGTTGGCTGAAGTCAGAAGGGGGGCGTGTCTGTGCAGGCAGGCCCATCCCACCTGTGTGGTTAGGACCGCCCCCGTAACTGCACAAGAGAGAAAGAGTTGGGATTCATGAAATGTTCTACAAAAATTAAAATTCTTTGTAACTGCTATTTTCTTCAAATTTTTAATTTAAACTTATTTTTACCCAAAACATCTATCTTTTTTCTTTAAATTGTTCTAAAGACCTAAGGCCGTGTTTATTATGATTATTACACGATCTGCAAGGAAAGCAAATCACTGTCTCAGCAATGGATGCTCTACAGTCATTCTGACGGCACCCATTCACTGCAGAGCATCCATTGCTGAGACACTGATGCAATGATACATTTCTCCAAATCTGATGAAGAAACAAACTGACCTGTTCCCGAATCCTTCTCCTCCAGGGTAACTGGATCTCCCGTACATCCCCGGCTGCATGCAGGCCTGGTTTGGACTGGCCTTGGAGGAAAACTGCTGCTGTCCAGTAAACTGTCCCGGGTTCATACCTCCATTACCTCCTGTCATAGGGTTCATGTGGCTGTTTGGGTTCACCATGGGGTTCCCCAACACCTAAACACACACACACACACACCTTATGACATGCACTCAAACAGCAGCATGTGCTCTGAACGGTGTTAAACACACTCTCACCTGACTCTGTGATGTATTGGTGACACCCCATACAGTGGTCACCACGGAAACAGAACCTGGCGGCTGATTAGTGTTTTGTTCTCATTCTGACGGCACCCATTCACTGCAGAGCATCCATTGCTGAGACACTGATGCAATGATACATTTCTCCAAATCTGATGAAGAAACAAACTGACCTGTTCCCGAATCCTTCTCCTCCAGGGTAACTGGATCTCCCGTACATCCCCGGCTGCATGCAGGCCTGGTTTGGACTGGCCTTGGAGGAAAACTGCTGCTGTCCAGTAAACTGTCCCGGGTTCATACCTCCATTACCTCCTGTCATAGGGTTCATGTGGCTGTTTGGGTTCACCATGGGGTTCCCCAACACCTAAACACACACACACACACACCTTATGACATGCACTCAAACAGCAGCATGTGCTCTGAACGGTGTTAAACACACTCTCACCTGACTCTGTGATGTATTGGTGACACCCCATACAGTGGTCACCACGGAAACAGAACCTGGCGGCTGATTAGTGTTTTGTTGCCAGGAGACGGAGTCATATTGAAATGATGCATCACTATGGAGATTAAAAAGGATGTAAACAGTTAACATGTGCAACAGTGTGTCAATATGTGTGTGAGAAACTGACCCATGTGACAGCGCCGGTTTCATATTGTTGATGTTGGCCTGCATCGGGTTCTTGCCCACAGATGGATCGGGTTGTCTGCTTTTCTGATGACGCAGCAGCAGAAGTCGACCCAGATCCTCACACCACGAGGACAGCAACGCTAAACAAACACAAACACACATTAAATGGGTCATATTTGATATATGGGTCATATCATTTGACGTTTTTCCCTGATGTCCTGGAGCTCTTTTTGCGGAATGTCACGGAATTTGTCAAATTTTGAATGAATTAATCAAAAGTAGGTCATTACACTTAAATCAAATCACGATATGGACTAGTATCTGTAAACATTAAGCCGCAAAAGTCGATTTAAATATGAATCCTGCATGTTCTGCCTGTCTCTGTTAATGAATGGCGCAGACGCACGGTTTCATTTACTACACACATTCTGAAGCGCGCGTGACACTCGCGGTGATTTCAGCGTCTGCCGTCAACACATGAACAACATCTCCAGAACTGCTCTGAGAGTCACTTCATGAGCATTTTAGCGTTTGATTTGACACAACACAGAATTTCTGAGGGAAAAAAAATGAATAAATTAAGTTGTTTTATGCATTCAAATAATTAGACATGCTAAAACACAGAATTTGGTAACAATAAAAAATATAAATAATATGGTGAGAAAAAATAAAACATTTCATAGGGCCCTAAACATGTAATTTTTGTTAAACTTTTAATAAATTGATGTGAAAATGTCTAAGTTTCATGATTTTAATTAATTAGACATGCTTTTTAATTAATAAAATTAAATTTAACTATTAAAAAGGAGTCGAGAAAATTTTTTACGAAAAATAAAAAAACGGAATCCAGAAAAATTAAAACGGAAAAAATGGAATTTGGAAAAAAATAAAACGGATTTCATAGGGCCCTAACTATCCCTCAGCCTTGCCGTGTTTCTTTTAAATGGATACATTAATCGTGTTTATTATATATTTTTTTATTAAAGTGGAAATCAGTTTACTAAATAATGTAAACTTGACTGACTGCTTCACTTCCACTTTAAAGGGATATTTATGTTGTTTATTATTTATTTTTATTTATACTATTTATAATTTTTGTGCAATTACTTGCCTGTCAGTTGAGTTTGTGGCAAAACATTTTGCAGTATTTACATGTTGTTTATTACTGCATAAAATTAATTAAAATAGATGTTTAATTTCATAAAGTACAAGGTGATTTCAAAATGCACCTACTTTTTTGCATTTTGAGTTTTTCAGTTGAATAAAATACTATTTTTCCCCATATATTTCATCATTGAGGATTTCTTTAAAAAAGTCTAAAAATCTCGTCTCGTCTCGTTCTCGTGAACCCAGTCTCGTGTCTCATCTCGTGGGATAAGTGTCTCGTCACACCCCTATTATTTAACATTATTACGTAAACACTATGAAGGGTGAAGAACTATTTACACACTCTCAATGAGCTGCTACTGTCAAATTTTCACCAAATTTCATTACATTACCACTAAATTTCACTATAAATCTGTAGTACAGCTTCACAAGCAGATACAACAAACAGTTATGAGTCTGAAATAACCACTAAATCTGAAATAGTTTATCAGGTTAGTGGCATCAAATCTACGAAACAGTTGCTAAGTAGCAAGTAAACAAGATATCCACGGGCACAGCAGTATATTTCACTAAGTTTTCAGAATTTTATCAGATTTGCAAGAAGAAGAAATCGTGACGTGTGTGATTTTCTTAAGTGGAATTGCAAAAAAAAAATCCTGTTTTCAAACACTCAATTCATCTGCCATTGGTCGGCCAAACAGGTAGCCCCGCCCCCTAATGAATGCCATTGGTTGAGCCAATGATGTTTAGATGCAATTTGAGATTTATCTGGTCCTAAATATTGCATAAAACACATTTTGTGGTTAGTCAGTTGCTGGCTGACCGTACAATATCAAGGGTTAAATGTTAATACTTAATATTTAATATAATTCATTGTTGTACCAGGCAAGTGATTTCTGTGTATTTATTGATTTATTAATTTGGTAAATAGCTGTATTATTAGTGGGATCTTGTGTAGTCAACCTCTGCTTTGCATCAGGGTTTAAACGAATCTGTCGGGTGTTTTGTTTGCTATAACACCATCAGACTGTACTTCACTCTTTACTGATGTACTAAGAGACACAAACACACACACATACACACACACATACACACACACACACACACACACAAGAGGGCTGCTGTCAGCTTCACTCACTGATGTCTGTGTCATTTTCTATTTAGGAAAAGCCACAGTTTAACTATGAGTTTCTACCCTGAGAGACACCCGGTCAAAATTACAGACTGTGTAAGTGTGTGTGTGTGTGTCTGTGTGTGTGTGTGTTAGATCACCACACTGAATTAGAGTTTATCTTTAATTATATACAGGTTTCTACAATCAACAGCATGATCAAGTCATTATTAGAGGTAGTTAACGATCTGTGCTGGTAACCACAAGGTTGCAGGTTTAAATCTCATTAGTTTGAATGAACCACAGAGCTCAATGGAGACTAAAAACTCATTCATTTTCTCCATCGAGATTTCCAAAACAACAAAACAAACATCTGAGCTGCAGCGAAGAGGAAGAAATTCAGTGCAAAGAAAATATGCAGGATAATTAGCACAATTAGATTAATCTCAATGAATCCATTCAGAAATTTAATTCAGTAATTCATTTGCATAATCACTTATTCACAAAAGCTTCAAGGTAGCGTTTGTCATCCATTCAGGTGTTTTTGTTTTACATACAAAAATGCTGACCCATATGGCAAAAAATAGATAATTTCTGGACAAAATATATGCTAAATATATGTTGAAAACAGCAAAGCTCAATTAAATATATTTTTGGAATTGAAAATATATTTAGTATCAAACTTTATATACCTATATATATATAATATAATATATTTCAAAATGTAATTCAGCGGCAAGAAAATAAATTTCCGATCTTACAGTAGCCTACATTTAGGTTAAATGCAAATGTCAATGGAATAGCCTATAATGATTTCGTAATATTTATTTTTTTATATATTGTATTTATTGTATATTCCTTGCTGATTTTTATTCAAATTTGTTATATGTTCAGACAACAAATAAACTTTTTCTTCATTGATATTCATTATTCATTCATTTTAAAAGTATTAATTCATTTTTATGATGATTTAAATAATTATTAGCTTTTCATCAACACACAAACCCCAGTTTGGGAACCCCTGCCGTAGGAAACACTGTATAACTCTCTCCGAGCCGCTGACTGACCGACAGCACAGATACACAGTGAAAACCCACACGCTCTCTGTCCGTCTGAGAAACACAAGCCTCGTCCTCTAGACAAGCGTTAAACTCTCTAAACGCCTCCACTTAGAACAGCGTGAGTGTGTTTTACATTCCATTAAACGAGTGACTTGTTTTGTTCATGCTTGAACTAGTTATGAACCAGCAGTGGAGTCTGAGCCTGACAGAGACCTTTCATCTGATCCCTCATCTAACCTGAACCACAATAATGCTGCAAATACACACACACACACACAAACACA